CAGAGCGGTGGGGTGTGGAGTAGTAGCTCAGTGGTAGAGCACTTGCCTGGGTTTAATCCTCAGCACCACATATAAATAAATGAAATATCCATTGACAACTAATATATATACAAGAATCAACGGGGGTAAGAGGAAAACTAGGATGCTATGGCATCCAGTGAAGAAAGTATTTGAAAAATGAAGCACAGTGTGACCAACTTCAAATGATACTGAAGTCAAGCAAGGTATTATCTAAGTTAGCTCAAAGTAAATCATCACTCAGCTCTATTTTCTCAGTTCTTTTTTGTACCTTCCTGGTTGAAGTTCCCAAATTTTATGCTGTATAGATCCCAACCCACTTCTCTCCTCTTATTGAGGTATCTTAAGGTCAGAGATCATCTTTCTCTTTCTAAAACACCCAACCCTATTTGCTTAATAAATGTTTGAATAAGCATATCACACAGAATACTATAAAATCAAGAATATGCCTAAAACATGACTAGCAATTAGCACTGGTTTTACCAAGATTTTCTAAATGTTCTCCTCTAAGAATAACATGGGCTTTGTTCCATCTAGAATGGTGGATATCCACCATACACTATTATGTCACATTTGATTACCAGCATCCTTACAGTCAGAGACCTCAAGATAGGTTGATATTTCATATTATATAACAAATTCTAAAATAATGACAAAAATAAGTCTAGCAGGCATTGAGAATGAACTATCAAAATTTTAAGGGGGATGTGGTTAAGTAGGTATACCCAGAAAAAGGCTGGTAGTCATGGGATGAAAAATTTCCCTAGCCCTGCACAAAATCACAGAGATCATATAATTTATAAGTCAGTAAATTATTATATCTGTAAAACAAACCTAAAACCCAATAGTTGAATAACATGAGCATCAAAACCAACTTATATATAGCTTCCACCAACATATTTGAAAAATATGCACTAGACAACTCAAAAAGACAGTCATCATATTCCAAATCACTACAGTATCTAGCTAGAAATCAGAAATCTTGGCTGCATGTGCCAGTGCCACAGGGCCACTCACCTGTGAAGTCAGACCCCTTCTACTTGACTTTAGCTGTGCTCCAACTGGGGCTTTGGGTGTTATTCACAAAACGTCACGTTTCAGCCCCAGGGCTCTGTTGGCTAGATTTATGGTGACTCCCTGAGAATAAATATTCACATTTGATTTATACTCTTATACCTAACCTTTGAGGCAGGAGATGCAGCTCAGTGATGAGATCCTGAGTTTGATCCCCACCACCACACACACAAATACAGAAGTCTCATCCAAGAATTGGGAAGGTTTTTTCCTCCAGCCACTGATTACTTGGCAGATATTGCTAGATGAATTTCAAGAGTGACAAAACTAACAAAATGGGACACATCTGGATGCAGAAACAGACAGACTACAAACTGGAGATGAGTCAGAAGCTTGGGAGCTTCTTTCAAATAACTAGAAAGAGAGGAATAAGATTTATCCTCTTTCCCAATTACAGTTCAATAGGATGTTGTGAGACTACAGGAGAAAAAGACTGTATAGTCAAGAAAGATTGGGAAATGATGGATCAAACAACTCTCATTTTCAGAGTCTTAGAAGCAAAATCAAGACCTAACTACTCATTTATGAAAAGGTCAGAATTAATAAATACCTCCAGATGCTTGGTGAGAATAGCTCAAACTTGAGGGGCTGCTTAAATTAGAGTGATGTTGAAACAGAAGATATGTGCTGCGGTCTACACTACAACTAAAATGAATGTGGACTGACGCAAGGATCTGGTCCACAGTGGTTCCTACTGAAAGTAGCCAGTTTGAGTAAGCATGTCTTCATCAGTGATGCCAACCTGAACTAACTGAACTTTGTATATTGATTTCTAAATGACATGGCTTTTACTATTTTTAATAGCTGGTAATTTTAACATAAGACCAACTAAAACATAAGACCAATTTTTAAATGCCATTAATTGTTCATTTTTCTTCTTATACACATTTCCTAAGCACCAACTATCTGCTAAATCCTCTACTAAGAACCAAGGAAAACAAAGGAAAAGGCCTGGTTGTATCCTTACGATTTAGAGGTAGGGAAGCTACAGAAGTGAAACTAATCACTTTCAGAGCAATCAAGAGTTATGTCAAAGCACAGTGACATCCCTAAATACCGATTTGCCTTTAATTCACTACCATTCTCACACATTCTAAATAAACAAAAATGATTCAGTATTTAAAAACATACTACTTAATGAGCTACCTAAAGGACCTACAAATTGATTCTTTCTTTCACTCTACAGCAACTGTATTATGCCTACTAGATTTCATAGTGGTGCTATATTTGCTAATGTTTGGAGAATTAAGTTTACAGTATTTGAGAGGATCTGAAGGATCCTTTTGTTCTGAGGCTACACAGTAAATTAATTTTTATACCAATGTACAAAGTTTTATACAAATTGACTCAGTAGATTAGGAAGCTGAAAATACTGTGAATACTATCAAATATCATAGCTTTGCAACACAATAAACGGCAGAATACGGGTTGTTTATCCTCAGATCATAAAACCCACAGGGAACTGCAGCTCTGTCTCTATGCCCAGCTTAAGGGAGTACTCCTCCACATATCGCCAGCTTGAGAAAGACCAAAAGACAAAAATGTGAAGTGCAATTCCTATGCATGTGTATCACTTCAGCACCATCATAAAGTTCAATGAACCTCTAAGTACACAGTGTCATTTAACTTCAACTCATCTGAAAAGAGGCATGCTTATCTCTTTTTCTCTCTACCACCCCTGTAACTCTTTCAGATCAGGAGAATATATTTAGAAAACTTGAGAGGATGACAACTAAAGAGACAAACAGGTATGGGAACTGATGCCATCCCAGTGATTATCTATGAATGGGTCCAAATTTTCCTAAATATGGTCACATTTGATTTTCCCCATCATATCCCAAGATTTTACAATTGTATTTGAATTATGTGGCTCATATAACAGGAAACCCAATTCACACCTAAATAGCAACAGTGTGGCAAATAAAAGGTGGGACTGTCATTTTCTGGCATGACCCATACGAACCAAATTTCTGAAAATTGAAAGGAAGAAAGAGTTACCTGAAAATAGTCTATTAAAAGAAATACCCAGAAAGATAACCATTAAAAGTTATTGTCATTCAATGTCAAATCTTATATATATATATATATATATAGTTATCTTAGAAAATGATCAATTTACTTCCCATTCAAAGTGATTAACATAAGACTAGCCATTTCGTGGATGATCCCCCACATACTCTGACCGGAATGTGGCTTATATAAATATCATTAGGTCAATTTTGTTGAATTATGAACAAGTCACTGCAAGTATCTAGATACACAACGAAATCATATTGCTAATCAATTCAACTTTGTTCGTGGTCAGAACTGAGGCCATCTAAATGAATATTAACATAATGAAGGATAAGCAATGGTTTATTTAGTCTGAATCTCTTCCTTTTTAGTTGACAATGCCAATAGTTTTTAGTTTCTTCAATGATGAATGTTTTACATAAATTTCATTTCTAACTTCCAGAAATAAACACATACACAACATTTACTAAATTTTTTAATAAAACATCAAACATAAATAGTCAAATATTTAAGAGGAAAAAGTAGACATTTAAGCCAGCACTAGTTTTCACTTTATTCTTCCTCTGGGGCATTGGAGGGTAGACTTATCTGGGATTATAGAATAATGTTATGATGCTGGTGCTATAATGATCAACTATACAAAAATGGGAAATGGCTTGACAAAATTTACTTTCATATCTGGAAGTAAAGGCCAGTAGCTCACTGGAGTCCACTGCAAATATCTCACACTGGCCTCATCTGTGGAAAACTACTATGGTTTACCATTCTTACCACATTTTACCACCACTTAGCACTCCCTGGCATTCTGATCCTTTTGCTCAGTGAAGCTCACTTCAGTCTGTCAAAACAGCAAGGGGGAAAATCCCCAAATGAATAGACGAACAAACACTTTTAATGTGAACAATCATATTCAGACCAACCTCTTTTACAAAAATACAAGTTAGTGGATTTTTTTTTCCTTACATAACTCAAACATTGGTATTTTTTTTCCTGCCTCTCCTAAAATAGCACCTCTCATTTTATTTACATCTGCCATTTCTTTGTCTATTTTTCTGCAATTGATACCTCATGTTATTCTTTTTGATTGTGCCTTATAATTTCTATTCCAGAATATTTGATCTTTGGCCAGTCAACTTTATCTCATTCTGTGAGTAAATTTACTAAAAGGCAGTAAAAATCACAAAAGGAAAAAGAAAACAATAAGCACTAGCAGGATCCCATTTGAACAATCATATAATTTTTTTTTTTATAAGAAAAGCATTCATTTTTATTGGGTAATCTAAAACCATTCTTGTATGATAATATGTGTCTTTCAGCATACTCAAATGCATTGACATTCAATATGAACAGCAAGCTACTCACAAGAAATCAAGGTAATACACAAATATGTTTAGTTGGTAGAATCCCAGCAGCCTATGACAATGTGCAGCAAACTTTCCTTATAGTGGATGCGAACTCCAGTAACATCTGGATATTTTTGGTAAAGTTAAGGAAAAGCTACTGCAGTCAAGAGATAGGTAATCTTTAGACTTCAAAGATTGGCTGCCAGGGGACCACAGTGAAATATTAGTCCTGGAGCCCAAGAAAAACAAGAAGATGAAAAGGAATGGATTTTTCCAAATATGCAAAATTATTTCATACAGATGCTTAGCGTACTATGATTTGACAGGTTTACACTGATAAACCAAACAGCAAAGATAAACATTTAACATTATTTATAGCTTCAGTGATAGAGAACACAGGTTTTAAAATAGGCAGCAATAAGTTCTATTATAGCTCCTGAGACAAGTTATCCTATGCCCTGTATCCACCCCATGCCAATGAAAAAATGGAAACAGAATAAAAAGTGATTTACTGTATGGGAATCAGAAAGTACATGGAAAGTGACAAAATTGTATGTTATTAAACGACAAAACATATTTTGAGGCTTTATTTAAAAATCTCTCACTGTTCATTATCAAAGTACAAGATTGTTTGCATACCAAGAGACAGACTGTAAACATAGGAAATTTTCATTAAGGAAAGATGGGTTTACTGTAATTTGATCTTTTACAAAAAATTACTGCAAGTTATTGATAACAGAATTTCTCTTTTACTTTCTTAAGTCTAATTCTCTTGAAAATTCAACCAATGTTTCCATTCTGTTGAGCTAAAGTTCAATCATGGTCACCTTAGGAAATACCCCTGTTTATTTGTTAATGAGAAATACAAACTGAGTGGCACATATTTCCATTGTCTCCTCAGGCCAAAGGTTTCAGCTTCATTATATTTTACAAGAAAACAGAAGACTTGCAGTGGCCCTGTTAAGTCTTTCACGTTGAAGCTGAGGTTTAATGACGGCAGTGGAGGAAAGCAGTGGTGATGCAAAGCAAGACCAGCCCAATTGCCTTATCTGACATGGAATCTCTTTCCTGCTTGGCTTGCAGCAGCAAAGCGTTTCTGGTCAGGTTGCCTCCACCAAACCTGATTGAATCAAAGAGTGACATGCTCTGGTAAATCCTGTTTCAGGGCGATTCCTTCCAGACCAGGAGTCGGTGCTTCACTCTGTTTGTTTGGGGATGATGCTAATATGAAGAAAATTATCCGGATAACTCAGATGTTCACTTAGCCACTGCAGAGGTGTTTCCAACATTGGCTCAATTCCATGAATCATCACTTGATTCCTTCTTTCCCCATCTATTCCAAGAAAGAAATCCAACAATAATCAATAGGAGTCAAAACCAATGAAGAAAAAATAATCTGTTGCATTTTCCAAATCTTTAGTGAATTAAATAGATTTTAAACCTGTTTTGTCCCCTGAACAGGAAATGCAGACATGGAGAAAGTTCACATGTTGCAATATGTATCACCCAAAACAGAAACCTGAGGGTTACAATGAATTCTGATAAAAATTCTGTTGCTATATGTGAAAGTATTCATTCTTTCTTAATTACTGTGCTTACCTAAGACTGACGTTAGTGAAACTATAGTGGAGAAAACAGAAAATACTCACTGACCAAATTATTGTAGTTACACATTAAAAATTATATATGGGGATTAAAAATGACAAGTACATGCAGTCGGTCCATGTATATTTTAAAAATGTAAAACAAATGTGACTAGCAATCATCAAGAAATGAGATCAGCATTTCAGATATTGAATAAAACAGACAGGAGCTTTGGTTGATTTTCAGTAAAGTGTCCAAGTATAACTCAAGAAGTGTTAGAGACAATATTAGAACAACAGTTAAAGTTTTAATCAGAAGGAACTAAGAGTCTGACTGGGGGATTCCTGTCTTAAGAGTCATGAAACCTGATTGATTTTTGTTAATACCCATTCACTAATTAAAGGATACAGGAATGGGGGTTGGAGCTCAGTAGTAGAGCACTTGCCTTGCACACGTGAGGCCCTGGGTTTGATCCTCAGCACCACATAAAATAAATAGATTAGTAAAACAAAGGTATTTGTTTTTAAAGGACATAGGAATTGCTTTTCTTATAAATTCAAATTTTATTTCTACTTAAATATAAGATTATATTTTTGTTTTCATAATAATCAGAAACAGAAACACTCTATTATAAAAGGAAAACAAAGAAAGAAAACTCCAAACTTCTCCAAGGAAAAGAAGAAAAAATCCCAACAAACAAAAAGCAAAAAAACTAAGAAGCTTTCTTTTACTCTTTTAACATAACTCTTGTTGAGTCTGCTTTTGGTCTCTTCAAAACACAATGTCACATAGTGGGGTAGGGAGAGGGAGCATGGGAGGAATAGATGAACTCCAGATAGGGCAGAAGGGTGGGAAGGGAGGGGAGGGGGCATGGGGTTAGAAATGATGGTGGAATGTGATGGACATCATTATCCAAAGTACATGTATGGAGACACGAATTGATGTGAATATACTTTGTATACAACTAGAGATACAAAAAATTGTGCTCTATATGTGTAATAAGAATTGTAATACATTCCGCTGTCATATATAAATAAAAATATTAATTTTAAAAAAAGACACAAAATCTCTCAGCTTCCTGGAGATAGAAGGCAAAATTAAAAAAGGGGAATTCATGGAACTCAATGAGGGAGGAATATCCCACTTTTCCCTTCTGCTTTACACAAAATGACTTTCCAATCCTAGTGCTATTATGTTGGGAAAAAGAAGCAAGAGGATGTGTGCTAATAATGGCTTGGTTGGTACCTGAAACAAGGTCTTTTTAAAGAAATATTTAGACTTCCTATTAGAGGTAGCACAGTCCTAGGAAGTGACAGTCTAATAGAGGACACAAAAACATAAGAGTTGACAAAAAAAGAATACAAAAATAAAAACCTAACAAATATACCACCAATTCTAAATACAACCAAATAAACAATATAAACAAACCCCCAAGGTACTGTGTTATAGTTTAACTCAATTTTAGGAAAACATATCACCTTGTATGCCACTAGTCTTAAAAATGCTTTAATCATTTCAATTTTTCTAGCAGACTTTGTTAGATACTTTTTCACAGTTATGATCACAGCATTAATATGATTGGTTTTGATAATAATGGCATGGGTCATCTATAAATAAAAATTAAGCTTTATACAGGATACTACAGAATGCATATTATTAGTACTTTGGGAAGACTTTTTAAAATTAGCATTTAAACAGACAAGCCCTCAATTATTTGGAATGATTCATTCTTTGCAAGTTCTAGATTGCCAAGATTTTACTGTATTAAATCTTTCTTAGAACATTTGAAAACTTTTTTGGTATAGTTCTCTATATTCTTAATATATGCTTCTTTGAACTATTTCAATATTCTCAGAATCTTCCTCCTACTTAGCACTGAGTCAAAAAATGAAAGAGTAGTGGTGTAAAAGTTCTTAAAGTGTAAAGTTTTTTTTTTTCTTAAGCCAGTCACCTTTAGAACTTCTCAAACAGAAGATACAAGCAGCAATTCAATATCCAAAACACTGTGCCCAAAGCAATATTTAAAAGAAAGCAAATAAAATATTCCATAAAATCCACTGATGCAGTGTGGTAGAAAGGCAAAAGACTAACTTTATTGTCATATCCCTAAACAGAACAGTTTAGGATGTGAAATACACTGTCTACATATGTCCAAATATTTCCCCTGTATTTATCTTTTCTGTTTTCTGACTTCCCTCAACATAATTGTAAGCAGTGGGATTCTTAGAATGGGATAGCAGTTCCCTTGAATCTACTAAGTTTCTCTCTTACTCACCACTGCAGCCTCAACTGGCTAGCACAGAGCCAGTCCATAATAATTACTCAATAAACATTTTCATACAGATGTACTAGATATATGGGTATTTACTATACTATTCTTTCAACTCTTCTATTTGCTTGAAATGTTTCAAAAAAAAAAAAAAATCCTGGCTAGAGAAAAATGTTTTCACAGCTTGGACAATTTTGTTGCTGGTAGAATATACAGTTCAGTTCAAGTTGTTTTGAAAACAGTTGAGATTTTTTTTTTTTTTTTTTTGGTGGTGGTGGTACTGAGGATTAAAACCAAAGGTGTTCTACCAACAAACTACATCCCCAATTTCTTTGCATTTTGAGACAGTGTCTCACTAAATTGCCCAAGAACTCGTGATCCTCCTGCCTCAGCCTCCCAAGTAGATGGGATTATAGGCATGGGCCACCATGCCCAGCCAAGAATGGTTTCCGATGGCTACCTTTACTTACTATGTAGAAGAGCTTAACTTGTAAAGACTGCTTTGGTTATTAAAACAACAAAAAGTAAATGACATTTCCAGGTAAACCAAGCAGTATATATACTACCACCTTAATTCATACCACCATAATATTAACAAAGCAGGACCAGACAATTTGGCAATATCTGAACTAACAAAAACGAACAATAAACAATGTATATTTAATTTTTTTCTAAACAATATAAAGGAAACACTTGCTACTGCTAAAGTAAACTATGTTTTTGGTAAATATGTCTTTGTTTCAAAATGGGAATCTAGAACTTAGTACCTGGAATGAGAAACATGTCACTACAAAGTAAATGACTCAGGAGAAAAAACGTTACTGCATTCCTCTCCTAGTCAGGGCTTTTTTTTTAAAAAAAAAAAAAATTGTTTTGTTTTGATTTTTTCGTGGTACAGGGCACACTGGGCAAGGATCACTACCACGCTACAACTCCAGTCTCTACTTGGGCAATTTTACATAATATATATTTTTGCAGTACTGGGGAATAAACCCAGGGGCTCCCAAACACTGAGCTTTATTCCCTCCATTTTTATTTTTGAGATAGGATCTTGCTAAACTATTGAGGCTGGCCTTGAATTTGCAATCCTCCTGCTCTAGTCTCTAAAGTTGCTGGGATTTCAGGTGAGCATCACTCTGGGTTTTTTTTTATTTTTAAAGTTAGTTTAACACATTTTAAATTAGACAAACATTTCAGATAGTAATCTAGTAAACTAGTTCTATTTATTTAATACATGTCATTTGTTAGGAGTAACTTTGATATAATTTCAAATTTATAGTGAATATTTTCTAATAGATTTTACTTAACACAATCACACTACAGTTATCTATATTAAGAGATAATATAATACTATTAAGTAGTCTATATTCAAATTTTACCAAACATCTCAGTAATGTATTTTTTTCCCCTCAAATTCAGTCTAGTATTGTCTTACTGCATTGTGTTGCTTTAACAAAATATATGAGACTGGGTAATTAATGAGAAACAGAAACTTCTTTCCTTTTTTTTTTTTTGGTACCAGAGATTGAACTCAGGGGTACTCGACCACTGACCCACCCCTAGCCCTATTTTGTATTTTATTTAGAGACAGGGTGTCTCACTGAGTTGCTTATTAGTGCCTTGCCATTGCTGAGGGGGGCTTTGAACTCGCAGTCCTCCTGCCTCAGCCTCCCAAGCAGCTAGGATTACAGGCCTGCGCCACTGTGCCTGGCAGAAATTTATTTATTATAGTTTTGGTGGCTGGGAAATTGAAGTTCCAGGTGCTGGCACTGGTGTGGGCTTCTGTGCTATGTCTTCATATGGTAGAAGGTAGAAGAGCAAGAGAGAGAACCCATTCCTGCAAGCCCTTTATAGCAGGATCAATCTGTTCCTTTTAAAGGACTGACCTCTCCAGCACATTTGTATTTGGGATTAAGTTTCCAATGTATGAATTTTGGGTGATACACAAACACAGAAGGACTCTCACATTGCATTTAATTTTTATTTCTCTACTTTCCTTTAATCTGCAACCGTTTTTTTTTTTCTTTTAGACATTCTTTGTATTCTCTGACAATTTTAAATAGTATATTTCATTATTTTGTAGAATGTCCACATAGCATTTTAAAAAACCAGTACCTATTTTAAAGTGAACAATTTTAGAATTATTTCATTTGAATAAAAGTAAATTCAGACATATTTTGGTTATATGAGTAGAATGATAGGAATCACACATAGAAACAAGAATAATTAAATAAAAATCAGGAAGTAATTTACAATAAGTATATCACATGATATATACAGGTCACTAATGAAAATTACTAACTTAAAATATCAGCAAAATCTTACCTATACGTAAAAATGTTGCCTACATATAGGTAATGCAATGAATACAGTAATATACAATATAAATGAGGAAGAAAAGAGGTCTAATCACAGACTGATAGTTTCAAATCCTAATCTCTAAGGCTGTATGGGATACGCAAGCAAAGAACCTGGTAGAG